GAGTCACAGATTTGAATTTTGCATGCAAACAATTTGTCTTTTCAGCAGTCACATCTTTTCAGGTAAGAAACACCATGCAACTATTTTGCCTCAATTTGATATTTGGTAATACAGTATAGTCTGAGAGCTGTGTCCACGAGTAAAAAGGCTTTATATACTGAAATCCATCAAAAAACAAATGAAGTAAAAGAAATCCCTGCACAACTGATATGAATGTATTTCCGACACCAGAAACAGTATTTGAAGCCCTGTTATAGATGTGTTACCTACTTCATAGTGATCCAGCAGACACCTTTATCTCTTTATGAATTAACCTAAGCATGCAAATTTACAAAAAGCCAAAATCCCAATTAGCTATCCAAGATCTCTTTTTTTACCAGTCATGACAACTATGAGCAGTCCTCAAGAAACAAAACTCGTTTGATTTTTCACTTTGTGGCTTGTCAGGACTTGAAGGTCCCACCAATAGAAAGAAGTCTATGAACTCTGAATCTGGGCATCTGGCCTGACTGAAATGCAGAGTCATGTCAAATGACATGAGGCAGCAGAATTGTGGCGGGCATCGGTTAGAGGTCATCGACCAAAATTAGTCTGATCCACACACACAAAAAAATAATCTCGGCCACATTGGAGTTTTTCTTTTATGTAAATGAAAAAAAAAATGCCTTTTGAGTTTTGCCATACAAGTTTTAATACTGAACTCCTCAGTCACTGTTTGTAGTTGAATCATTATTCCATGAATATATTTCATTTGGCATTTCTGGGAAATGTATAAAAGTGATAATTTTAGGTTTCTAATAAAGTAATCATATGACAGCCTAACACCAGCAGAATATTCAACATGGGTGTAACCAACAGACGGTGCAGGCAGACCTGTCAGAACTTCTGAGCCAGAAAATATCGTTCAACAATAAAAACTTTTAAAAATTATTTTCAGTGAAAGGAATAATTCCTACAACATACGATTCTTTCTTAGGTTTTGTACACAAAAGCAAAAATCCAGGCCATAAAGGGTTAATACACATGCACAAGCCTGGCTGGTAAATGTGATAATCAGTGTGCTGGAAGGAGCCGATCCTTGACTATTTTTAGCTGAGTACACAAAGCCCTGCCTCTGTACTGTACTGTTTGACGACAAACCACTGGGTTATCAGCAGCAGCAGAGGCTCTGGCCACCTCCTACTCTGAACTTTGACCTTCTGTTCAGTTCCTTGCTTGCTATGAATTAGTTACTAGATTCTTAACTGGCAGTACAACCATCTTAATGTGTAACACTTTTCAGAGCCATTTTGGTTTCTCAATCTTTGAAAAGAAAATTACACCACTCAATGGAGTAAAGTAAAAAGTGCAAGAAGTGTCCATTTCTGTTTGTCATGCAATATAAATTTTTATTAGGTAGCTTCTTAATTTTCACCATGCTTTAACATTTTCTGGTTTGTTTTTTCTGTGATTGGTTATATAGGATTATAACCCTGTGATGATGTAAAAAAAAAAACAGCGAGAAAAGAAACCAAGTTGTACTGAAGCTTAAAGTCACCTTTTTGAAAACCTGTGTAGAAAAGATGAGCAAAAATTTAATTGCTGAAGTGGTAAAAAAAAAAGTCATGCAAGCAGCCTTTACACACAACCTTACACAGTTCCACATGCAAGGATAACAAATATTTATCCTGCTGCTCCCAGCCTCCCCTATCACCTCCACTCACAGGAATCTTTTTTTAATTAAATACGGCTCTAGGACATAAGTCGAAACACCCAAGAAAAAGTCCTTGAAGCACAGAAACTCCTGCGGCGAGTCCTAATCCTCAGTGTGCTGACATCCTTTTCTTTATCCTGTGTAGCACTCTTTATACACACGGGCACTGGGCTTCATATTAACCAGCACACAGAAGACTTACATGTACAGATGTAAAATGTTTTTATGAGGTCTTGTCTGACAGTATAAAAAAAATATATATGATGTCTACCTTCTGTGCATCTGTATGTAAGGCCAGAAGAGTATTTTGGAATGGATTGCTGGATATTTGAAACCATGGTTAAATGCAGAAAACCACAAACCATAAAGTGAATATTCATTGACTAATGCAATCTCAGGGACCTTTATAAAAAATACATTATAAACAGTAGATGGGTAACATTTATATAAAAAAAAACATTCTACAGTTTAACAAACTAACAATGTTTAAAAACGTTAAAAATCAAAAATATCTTTGAGATGTCAGTGTGGTTTCTCTAATGGTCAGAGTTGAGAGCGAAAGACTGTTGCTTTCAAGATCACATGAAGCACTTTCTGGGTGCTGTGGTGAGGCCTGTTCCTCATATAAAACCATTTGGTTCTCACCTAATAATCTGGGGCACTCCCACCCCATCTTGAATTTCTCAATGTGTGGGCATAGGGAAAGAACCAACTCCTCCCTCCGCACAGGCAGTAACTGATGTTTCTCCCCTCTATGGCTCAGTGCCATAAACTGACCTCCGAACGAAAGCGATTTCTCCTCGCGTAAGATTAACGGTAAAGTCCGTACAGGAAACTGCCCTCCTGGCAAAGCCAATGAGAAAGTGATTGCTCAGAAATCGCCAATGAGTTGAAAGGAAGAGCATCTCAGCCACAATACATAATTAAGAGTAAAATACATATAACTATACTTCAGCTTTAAAGTAACTATAGAAAAAGTCAAGACTTTAATTTAAATTATATAGCCGACTTTCAGCAGATTTCTCTTTAAAGGAACGCAGAATACTTTCTTCATGTGTAAAGCCCGACAGTGAACAAACTGCTAAATCACTTGAAGCCCATAATGTATTCATAAAGCAATACTACTGTCAACCCCCCAGTGTTGTATTTTATAAAACAATAAATAAAATCACTATGGTTCTACATCATACGTTTTCAAGATTTAGATGACAGCAGTCTGTATACTGGGAGAATCCATAATGGAAACAAAGGCCTGCTGGAGCACAATCTCCCTGCCACCATCACATTGTGACTGTTCCGACTGCCCTCGCGGCTTGCCGTTTAAAACACTAATCGGTTTAGTTTATCCCACTCAGCTGCGTGTGAGGCAGATGTTTGTCATGGCCACAGCATTTCTCAGCGTTCATTTTGCAAGATTACCAGTCTTTTTTTTTTGACTGTCCTAATTCCTAATCCCAGTAAAAAAATAGAAAATATTATTACCAATTCATTGTGTAACTGAGCAGGTACAATTTCAAAGACGTTTGATGCATATGAATCCAAACCGCTTATTTCAGTGGGGGAACCAAACAATTATGAAACTGTAAGTAATAGTAAAGGAAATGTTTCAGAAAAAAAATATTCACCGTTTTACACAGGTGAAGTATACCTGCAGCCCAGAAGATGCAGAGGATTTCTGCACTAACAGACTTCGATCAGCGGCCAGCTATTTAAAGCCAGAGCAATCCAGATGATGCCCATGGGATCTCAGTCTGTAAAGAAAGTGAATTTTTGGGGGGTCCTCACCTCATTATTAAGCATGTGGCAAATCCAAAACCCTGATGAAGCAAGTGAAAATCTGATCATTGAAACATGATTTTGGCTACGAAACTACAGGTGCTTCCAGCGAGGTTTATAGTAAGGCATCTGTTCAAGGGGAGGAAGTTTTAAGCAATCGGTTGCCTGCTTTGTTGATTTGCTACTGCTCCCTTGCCAGCAACTTGGCTAAAGCAGCAGGCAAAGAAAGTTCCCTTCGCCTGAGACAGACAAGGGGTCAGACACAGGTTGTGACAAGAAAACCAGCCTACACCTAACCCAGTTATGTGGTGAAGGGAGATTTATGCGGTTTATTGACGTTTTCATACAGAGCAGTAATACACAGCAAAATCACTCTGCCCAAGAGTTTCAACCATTATAGCACCCCGGAAACATTTTTATGCATTCAGGTTATTGTGTCATGCTAGTTAAATGCACATATCAAAAGCACATGTATGTGTCCAGACATTGAAGTTTAATCTTGTAGTGCCCAGAATGGAGCTACCATTGTTTTTCTTGCTACACTAGAAAATTCGTGGTATGTCATCATCGCATATCTTGATTTCCACAGGTAGTTTTGCAGGGGTAGCATCACAATATTCACCTGTCTTTACTCTTAACCCACTTGTTTCCATTGCCTTCAGGCTGCAGAACTAAAATCTTCTCATTCAGTTTTGTCTCAGATTTGAGTTTCAATGCATGCTCACTTCCTGTGTTGCAGCTAAAAAACAAACTGAATTCTTGACTTTCATGTTGCGTTATGTAGATAAGGGTTATAGGAAATGTCTAGTTTAATGCAACACTTAAAGCTGCAGGTCAAGGACACGTGTTGAAATAAGGCTTAGGAAGTTGAAGATGTTAGAAAATATTTTTGGAAAGGATTTGAATGTTATTTTTATAATATTATCTTAGGATATTGGATACTAAATAATCATTATAGAAACCCTCATTAAAGAGCTAATCCTCAGTGGCTGTTATTTCAGTTGCATAAAAAAGCAGTGAAATGCTAAAAGCTACTCACACAAGTCTGCTTTCCCAGAGATGTGTTGTGTCTTGTGACGTTTACACTAACTAGGTGCAACTAGTTAATACACTGTTCAGTACCAGAAAGCAGAGCAGCTTCACAAAATCAGACAGCCTATTTTCATTAAAACAAACCAATAATAAGATTAATTAAACCTGAACCTGAACCTGAAACCTGAACCCTCACTGTCAACGGGCTAATCAAAATGACACTTCAGCATTATTGGACATGTCTAATTGACAAAGGATCACACACTCACACCGACAGAACAAAAACAACTATTTTGAGTAAAGTATAACATTAAAGAATAAGAAGATTATAAAGAGGTTATAAATTAAGTGAATTAAGTTTTAAAGTCAAGGTAACATGCATAACACTTTTGATGTCACTTGGGGATTTAGATTCAATTACATCCACTGCCAGTGGCCAACATCATCTGTTACCTACTTCTAAAAAACAACAATAACAAAGGAACAAAAAGATTCCTACCTGTGTGCATTACACACCTGGAGTCTTCTGACCACCCCCCTTCCCTTCACATGTCCCGTTAAGGACACCCCTTCCTCTTTCCTCTTAACCTCTTCCAGGCAAGACGTACTGCAAATGAAAACAAACTGAGGTTAAAATCACTTATACACTTTAGCAAAAAATACGCCCAAAGAGAGATCCTCTTAATGATTAAAGACTTCTGCTATTTCCTAAAAATTGATAGATTGCCCTTCTAGATGCTATCATGGAGCCACTGTGTTGGTACCAATAAAAAAGTCCTTATGAAGAGCATTTACAACAGTCTAATATTGTTGTTTCCCTCTTCACACGTCAGTGTAGGTAAAGAATATTCTCCTAAACACCCTAAACATTTACAGGAGTATGGGTTCACTGCCAAACCCAATTTGCATAGATCACAATTCACAGCAGATTGACAGATAAGCCTATTTACAGATGCCTTCTCTCTCGGTCTTCACCCACTGCCCTGTCTTCACTCTTCCAGCAACAGGAGACCTGTCCACAAGTGAGAAGCCCTCTAGCATGGGAAAGTGCTAACCATGACATCCTGCAGCTGAAATACTTCATTTTTCTTCTGATATTGTTGAGACCTTGAAACTCTGATTTGGCCACACCTTGGTTAGACAAACTGAGGTTGGAAACTGGGTAAGATCTCAGATCCTGGATGTCACAATGCAAAGTACCTTGAAACAGAACCTCATTATTCATGAAGACACCAACCCACCCTCCTCTGCCACCTGAGGAATCATATAGCACTTATTTGGAGTAAACAGGACTGTATATTATAACATCTTTGTTTTTACATATAGGTATAAAAAAAACAGACATAAATCAAGTCACTGTTTCACTTCAAGCCTTTTTCAACAAATAAGATCCTTCTTGATATCTCAGCCATCATGTTTAAAGATCATACACCCCACGTGCAGAACCAATAGACAGCTCAAACAGATTGGGAAAAGGTCTTCATTCCAGCATAAGACTATCTGCTGTTCCAATATGCAGTCAGAAATTACAATCAGCACAATAAGTAAACATTTATGAAGAAATAAATGTACTGGAAAATTAGTTTCTCTAGCTGCAATTCAGCTTGTTGGTAAATCTGAAGAGGGAGAAAAGCACAGATAATTACAAATATTACGCAAGAACATGAAGTGTTTTAGGAACTGGTTCACTCGCGTCTGCTGATAACACCTTGATGAACACGAGTGTGCTCGGTCCAGCTCTACCCTTGTTGAGCACGTACGGACCCAGCAGCCCAGCCATGATCCAGATCCATGCTCACATGTATTGAGCCACTTAAATACCCCGTACACTGCAGAGGACTTGTCACACGTGCTCTAATTGACATTAATAATGTACCTTTTGAGTGATTAAGCTGAGCAAATCAACCATTTTCACTGAGAAAATGCCAACATGACAGATCACTATTTACATTTGCTTAGTTTTATGTACAGAGAAGCAAGATATTTAAATTTTCACAATAAGTGGCGTGCATAATCGCGACAATTGGTTCGCAGCTCAGCTCCATCTCATATTTCTAACAGTCTCTGGAAAACGAAGGTTAATTAGCCACCCCTGCTAAACTCACACCCTTCAAAAGTTGTGAAAATGCTTTGTGTTAACAGCACGCCTGCTATGCACACTGAAACACAAGCACAATCAATTGCACAGACATCAGGGTCCAGGTACGAATTACAACTGGCATGATGTTCCAATTCCTTATGACATACATTTAATTAAAAATAAAATATAAATAAAAGACTTCCATTTCCTCTTTTTTCATCCCTTCTTTTAGGTTCACGCCATCTTTAGACTCTAGGTATGGCACAGCAGTTTTTCCTCGATTTCAAACATGTAGCTGTGAAATCCTCAAAAAATTAAGCAGATTTAATGTACTTGATTTTAGTAACCATGACTGGGGCCACATTAGTAATTATGTTATCTGCAATCCCGTGAAAGAACAGGTTCCAGAGGCTTAGGCAGATTCTGCCCAAGAAGAAATATTTCTATTTGAGTCCCAGTACTGTATTTAAAAAAAAAACAAGCTAGTTTATTTCTAGTATTAAATGAAATTAAGAAACAAAATGGCATCAACCACTTAATGCATCAAATTTACTTTTACAATAATGAGACCTTCTACAGATAGAGGAATTAATTTGACAAACCAATATGTTTTTTAAAACAATATGTATTCTATAGACCAGAATTTCAAAAAAACTTTGCAATATAGCATCATTTGATCAGTGGAACATGCTTCTTGAAATGTGCATTTTCAAGAGACTTTTGAGAAGCATCTCTTTGGCAGACATGCCAGTACACACACTGGGAGCAATCCAGAGCTCTTTCCCGAACTGCACAGCTTTTCCACTTGATACCAAGACCTTCTGAGTTCAAGCTTTTTGTTTGCAGGGCAGAGTGAAAGCAGCCTAAAATATTCCCCTAGCCACAAAGTATGATTTTGTGTTCAGTGGGAGGTCCTGATCCCCTGTGGCCGCTGTTTTTTTCCACTGCAAGAGTTTAGGCGGCATTTTGCCCCAGCTGGAGCCAAGACTGTGAAGTGGGAAAGGGGAGGGGGGCTGTGTGTGTGTGTCTGTGTGTGGGGACGGATTCTTCTCTTTAAAACAAGGCTCCCAGGACACCTCTGTGCTATTCATCAACTGTTTTTCCGGGGCTGTGAAAAATCAATGCACTCCACACTGCAAACACTTCATAATGACAGGGGGGGGAAAAAACTCTGCAACAAAATTGATTTGTTTAAGTACAATAATACAATTTAGCTCCAACTTGTAACAGAGCTTGAGATCCTAAAGACACACTCACATATAATAAAGCTATAAGCAGCTGATGATAAATGAAAAATATAAAAAATCACCAGGGTCATTTGAATAGATGGCTGTTTTGAGCTACAACAGTGGGAAACGTAAGAAATATTTCACATTTCTTCACATACACTTCACATACACTTATGGAAGAATCATGCTTGTGAAACTCACTCTCCACACATTTCAATGGGATTAGGTTCTAGCAAACACGGTGGCCAACATTTTGGGTGCAAGTTTTTCTTTTCTTCCTGATTGAGTCTCTCCACTTTAGGGTCATTACAGTATCTGGCTGAAAAACACTTCGCCTGAAACCTACTGGGGGCAATGGATGACAATGAAAAATCCAGTGAAATGCCCCTCCATAGGTACACCACTATAGAAAGCATTGTGGCCCAGCCTTGTGGCCTTAGTTTCATACATCCTACATTCGACACATCTTGATATCTCAGCCATCATGGATGCTTCATGTATCCAGGTTGTAAAAACTACTTGAACCCCTCTGCATTAACGTGCACACAACACCCACTACTATTTTTTTCTGCCAAAATAATATAGTTATAAATGAAGTATATGCATATCTCTTTTTCTGGCATGATTTCAGTAAGATTTACACGTGCTGGTGGAATTTTGACAGCTAACAAGCTAACATTTACCCAAAAAATTACATTTCCAAGCAACACGCACAGTGTTTAATGAGGACCTTATACTACAAATTCCATAGCAAATATTGTAGATGTAATTATAAAAAAAAACAAGCACCTGGTACGAATTACATGAATCGTAAGTGTTGTATTAATCATAAAGTTTATAACTTACACATAACATTATCTCTTTCACATCGCACAGCTCCTGTGAGTATTCTGTCATTAACCGTTCACTTCTGTTTTTCCACCTATCTTCTTCCTTCACTCTACACCAAATGGCAGGACAGCAATATCTCCTATTGCACACAGCTCTTCATCAATTCATGCAAATGATGGCCAATCACACGAATGGACCATTTAAGAGAGTTTAAGAGAACGTGCTGTTAGCGTGTAATATCTTCACATTAACACTGACCAGTATTAGATCCAGGTGTCTTTAATTATGCAGTATAGGGTATAGTGCTTTGAAAGGAGAAACAGTCAGACTATATATTTATCTACTGAACATTTCAGCTTTGCATGAATACTCAAAACCTGTATGTTCTTTTAGATGACCTTCTAAAAGCAATGCTGCTAACTGCCAAAACCCTTATTCCCAGCCTGCAATCATGTAGTACTTAGTGTGTTGAGACTCATATCTTGTAGATTTGCCCAATAAACAAATGACAATCAGGGCACTTTGGAGTGGATCAGCTAGTAGAGGCTCTCATTCGGAATTCAGGCAGAGCCCTAAAGTCCAGGTACCTCCAGCTGACAGCTGACAGGGACTGGGATGACCCTAGATGCAGTGCACAATGAGCCAATCACGACACAACTTTGACACCTGGAACCAGCCTGCCAGTTCTAGTGTGATCCATCAAGGGATGCATCCTTGCTCCTGACAGTGCTCACTCTCCTGTAGGTCTGCATGTTAAATGTCAGGATCTGAGGAGAGCCTTCATAGGCCTCATGTCCCTTAAGTGGGGGGGGGGGGGTTAAAATAATAATTGATCCAAAGACATAAGAGGAAACTCATATAAAATGGCAAGTATTACTTTCAAAATGGTTCATGCTTTGGGTTATATTTTCACCAGTAAATTTACTCTGACAACATGACAACCAACACACGCACAAAAACATGACTCCATCTCTTATCTACGGCTCTTAACTCCAGAGAAGGATGTTTGCTTTCCAGCAGGCATTCACTTCGAAAAGTATTATAATGTGCACAATGAGGGTATCAGGTCGTTGAGGCGTGACTAGTTGATCAGAACACTCTTAAGATAACTGCATGATGTGTCAGTTTTATGAGGCCATTTGCTTTACTTGCCTGGTAATGGGATGTGAAGAAAATCATATGACAATATAAAACAATGAACCACCTTAAAGGCTGTTGTACCCGATATGTTTAATTGAGTCCTCCTGGAATCAAATAACTTATACTTAACAAACACAAACACAACAGATAAATCACGCTTTCTGCCCTGCTAACAGGAGGCTTCTCAGTTTGAAAAATTGTCATTATATATAAAAGGTGCTTTTGAAGTCATTCTCATTTTCTGAGGACAGGGTCCTCCTGATGGCCATCGTGGAGACGAGATGTTCGAACCCCTGCCGAGACGGCAGAAAATCAGCAGTGCACAAA